CCCCCCCAAAGCAAGCCAATGGTCAAGTTCCAACAAGCTTCTCACACACACACATACATACAAATATATACACATTCATTGGATGCAAAGCTACAAGCTTTAACCTCTTTACATATATACACACACTTTTTGGACGGAGCAAAACTTTTTTTTTTCTCCCAGTTTATACATCCCAGCAAAATCTTTCAAGCAGAACTCACAATGTGGTTACATCCTAGCTTTCTTTAAGTGAAAGATTACAATGAGTCTATGTAGAAAAACACATTCCAATACCCTCACATGATCAAACATTGTATGTATTATGAGAAACAAATGTAAAAAATATTGAGAGCTGGGTAAAGTGGCCCATGCCTGTAATTCCAGCACTCTGGGAGGCTAGCCTGGCCTACAAAGTGAGTTCAGGGGAGCCAAGAGCTACACAGAGAGAAACCCTGTTTCGAAAAAACAAATTATTCAAGAACCCACATACACTTGTTACTAAGCAACTTGTTATAGATTAACAAAGTGTAAGCAAGTAAGATAAATCTCTCAATTTCTTTTTACTGGCAGGCTGCAATTTGTGGTTACAAAGAATCAATTATCTTACAAAAGGTAATCTTATAAAAATCTTAAAAGAACCACATATGCCTACCTCAACTATTAAGAGCGTGCCTTTCTGAACTTTAACGCATTTTTAAAAACGTAGTTGTCGACATGCACACATGCCAGAAGAGGGCACTGGGTCCCTGATTGTCACTGTCTAATCCTTTAAAGTCACAGCAAGAAGGAAAGACTACTCATTGCCTCCAGGTGACAGAAGGCAAGTGAGGGGGATGGCTGGAGGAAGCTATGTTCCCAGAGCCTTTTGCTTAATGCACAAACTTAAGGACAAGGACCATAATCAGAATGTCTTCATTCTTTTTAAGTTAACAAAAAAAATACTATTTAGAGAGATGTACATTCATCTGTTCCTTCCACCATGTAGGCTCCATGGCATAGAACTCAGGTCACCAGCCTGACATCGTCTTTACCCACTGAGATATTACCAGCCCCCTTCAACTTTTATTATTCATGTGTGTCTCTGTGAGCACAAGCCCACAGAGGTCAGAAGAGGGTCAGAGCAGAGGTCAGATCTCCAGGAGCTGGAGTTTAAGATGGTCAGGAGCTGCCAACATGGCTGCTAATAGCTGCTCCCTCCATTTCTCCAGGAAGGACTGAGTTGGCTCACAAATTTAATCCCAGCAGAGGCAGGTGGTTCTGTTCCAAGACAGCCAGGGCTACATACAGAGTAACAGTGTCCTGAAAACCAAAACCCACATCATTTAAAAAGTAGTTTATTTTAAATATTAAGAAGATTAACAATAGTCTCATTCTTACAATCATACACAACTATGAAAGTTGCAAGCTCAGATACTTCTTAACAGTTCCTAAATTAGTCACTAAGTCTCTTAGTGACTACTTTAGGACAGGAAGCAGTGGCTTAGGCCCATGGTCTGAGCACTTTGTTACAACAGGGTTGCTTCTTTCCAGACCAAGCTGTGTGACATAATACATTTTTTGTGCATAGGAAGGAACAGAAAATGCCAAATTAGAAGCATCTAGATAGAAATAACCCCTTTTCCCTGACCCCTCCCCCATTTTCCCTGAGAGTAGCTTTGAACTCAATTCTCCAGCATCAAGTACGGGCTTTCTCAAGTGAAAAAACACGCATCTTGAAAGTCTCCATAGTTGGCGTGCCAGGGTGTCAGTGATTGCTTTCAGCCTTAATTGGGAGGTTGTAGCTTCTACCTTTTTTTCCAGGGCTGTAATCATGGCTACATTTTCTGTCAAAACAAAAAAACAAAAGCAAAAGCTTCTTTTGGAAGCTCATATATCTTTGAATCTGAGTTCCCTGCTTTATTTTGGGATAGGTTGATGTCGGTCAGCTGTGACTCAGCAGAACCTCCATCCCAGGCACTGAAACTGGCGCAGCTTAGACCCACAGGGTGATGGGCTGGGAAGCAGTGGTGGTTGGCTCTGCCTCTTTGTCACTGGGAAGGCCTTAACACAAAATGGACAGTTCAAAACTCCAGCTTGCCTTTGCTGTTGCTCCAAGATTAGATAGAGTCCTTCACACCCTAAAAGGCAAGCTGAGAAAGGTCAGGACCAGCCTGAGCTTTGCCTCAGACATCTCAGTGTCTAGCATCATCAGCACATGAAAGGTGCTTATTCACATATGGAGAGAATCCCTGGGGCCAGCTCACCCCAGGACTTACTGTCAAAGCAGACAACACAGTTGGCCCTACCAGGCCTTGCTTGGTTGGCTGCCCAGGCCAATGCTGATAGAAAGCCACTTCTCCTTATCTACCCTAACCCTGAGCCCAGGACAGACTGGGGCAGCTAACCCCTGCAGCTATCAAAATGAACTGATCTTTCATTATTTAGAGCAGGAACGGGGATTTCATACTGTTCGTATATACTCTCAAGAAGCAAATACGTACCAGGCAGTAAAGGTTTTGTTTGCGACGATCTTCTAAGGGAATAAAAAGGATTCCACTTAATGAAAAAAAAAAAAAACTAACATGCCCACACACCAGCTGAGATGTAATTAATAAATAGATGTGTTGTAACCACCATCATTCATTCCTTCTTTCACCATGCAGCTATGCAGGGCCTTTGGAGGGTCAGCACTAAAGGCTGCTGGCCTCTATTTTGTCAGAATCTGTTCCTTTTCCATTGTGTGTGTGTGTCTGTGTGTGCAGGCACATGGGCCATGGCAAACACAGGGAGGTCAAAGTATAACCTCAGCTGGGAGGAGGCGGCACACAACGCTAATCCAAGAACTCTGGAAGCAGGTGGATCTAAGTTCCGAGCTCCGGGTCTAGAGTTCCAGAGCCAGAGCTGCACAGAAACCATCAAGAAACACAAGAGAAAGTACCTTAGGTGTCGTTCCTAGTCTGCTTCCCCTAAGGCAGGGTCTCATTTGCCCAGACAAGCTAGGCCATGAGATTCCTGTCCTGTCTCCTATGTGGAAACACTGGGATGAAGGTTTCTTCAGCTCTGATGACTCACACTCAGAGAACACCTGACTCACTCAGCCCCTTCCCCAAGAGTTGGGGGAAACCATCTCAGTGGTCACTAAGATCCTATGCAGCCCTGAGCAGTGGGAAGCGTCAACATATCATTACTGCATCCGGCTGGCTGGTTCCTCCACCATCCATCCCCCATCCCTCAGCCTGAGGTCTATTCGGGGAAAGAGCAGAGTTTGACAGGATCTCATTCTGTAGTTAGGCAACCCTCCTGCCTCAGTCTTCCAAGCCTACAATTGTTGACATATGCATGTATGGAGGCCAAAGGGCAGAGCCTTCCTTCATTGCCTGCCACCTTGCCTTTCTCCTGGCCCTTAGTCCCTGGATTTTCATGCTAAGCAAGTGCTCTGATCTGTAACCCCAGCTGTTCTCTTGTTCTCATTGAACCTGGGCCCACTGAGGAGCTTGGATGGCTGGCCAGCAAGCCTCTGGCGTGTTCTGGTCTGTTATCCACCAACAGTGCTGGAGTTACAGGTATGTGACATTGTGTCACAATTTCACCTGGGTGTTGGGGAAATCTGAACTCTGGTCTTCCAACTTTTCAAAGCAAGAACTTTCTCCACTGGGCCACCCCTAACCTTAGGGTTCCATTTATTCCTTTCTGATGAGCCCATGCTGGAAGAACATAACAAAGAATATACAAGTGCTTAAAATAAAGTCCGAAATCTGACTTGTCTCTTGAAAAGATCTGGTTATAACTGAAGAAAATTTTATTGCTTTAAACCATTCAACAGGGCCAGCCTCATGTTTGGAAGGGGCCAGTTACTTCACACCCCTGAGGAAGCAACTCACTCCTGTGACCTGTCCCACCAGGGCTCTGTGGGACACACTCCTCTTAACTCTCAGCTGGGCCATCAGGGGCCTGCTGCAACTAGGGGTTTCTGGGAGGAGTAACCTGCCCACAGCATTCCCATAGCTTAATCAGCATCCTCTGCTTTGCATGTATTTTTTACACAAAGACATTTCTGATTTATATTTGGAAGACAGCCATGGACTCAATTTGTGCCTGCTACCTCCAGGCAAATGATCTGATTTGTGTCTCCTGAATTCAGATTTATCTCTCAATTAACACTTCTTTCCTGGCAATCTTTCTTTCCACTGGCTCCTCAGCTTCTGTTCAGCAGGTCTTAACAATGCTAGCTTCAATTAGCATCACACACACATTAGTGTGGGACCGACCCGGATGTTGGCAAGAGGGACTTCCTGTTGTGAGAATTTGAGTTTTCGTTTCTTTGAAAACACAAATATTCTAAGAATGTTTTCGCTTTAATCCCTGATGTGGAGGTGTGGGGCCGCTTTGCTGCAGCCGAATATCATTTGCCTCCTGCTCTAGCAGAGGGGTCATTTTGCCAGCTGCCGGTTATGACGTCTGGAATTCTGGGGAACTTTTCAAAGGTTATATAAAATGCTAGGGCCTGGAGGGGTTGTTGGTTGCAGCTTATCAAGTAGTCGGAGAAATCAGGTACATCTTTCACAGGGAAAAATCAGACTTGCCAAGGAACTCAACACCCTTAACCAACAGGAAGTAGTCTGAGGAGAACCTGACTTTATTCAGGGATGTCTTTCCTCTTTCCTTTTTAGAGAAGGGTGAAAGAAAGTAGAACCCAAAGAGTAGTTACAGCCACATACACTTTCTGTCTGCAACGGTAAAGTTGTCTTACCAATATATGGGTCTCCATAGAAAAGGCCTGAATTGTTTTCAGCAGCTCCTTGGACTGAAGGTTGCCGAATCAGTAAGCTCAGTTTACTCTTCTCCCTTTCTAGGTTCTAAGGACAAAAGATTTATGTTGAAAGATAGCAACAAAGAGCTATAGGAACTAGGCAGATGCCCACTAGACAGTTCCCAGTGAACAGTGGCGTTGGTAAAACGACAACTGATGTCCCACAAGTCTTAAGCACATATTTTCTGTGTATGATGGGGGTGGGGTATGCAAGTGGCTATGAATATGGAGGTTAGAGGACAACTCTATGGAGTTGTTCCTACATGGTTCTTGTGGCTGGCTTAGTGGTTAAGAGCTTGTATTGCTGGCCAGGCATGATGGTACAGAGCTTTCAGTCCCAGGAGGCAGGGTCAGTCAGATCTGAGGTCAGCATGGTCTAAATAATGAGTTGTCAAGAAAAAAGTGAAAGTTTATACTGCCCTTTGATTTTCAGGTCCAGGAGATCTGACGCCTCTGGCCTCTACACTCACAGGTGCACACCCACACATAGAGAAGAGAAGCTATGTAATTAGAAACGAAAATTCTGCTCCTCTTGCTCGCACTAGCCCAAGTGCTAAGAGTACAAGATGCCATGCCAGGCCTTTTGTTTATCACAGTTCTCGACAAATCGGCCCTCTCTCCTGGTGCTGGGAATTGTATAAGACAACCTGCCCCTGCCTCCATCTATCCCAAGATGGCAAGAGACAGAAGGCTTCCTGTGACCTCCAAACACACCAGCAAACAATAAAACCCATATCAGAAATTTAAGGGGGTTTATTGCTGGTGTTTAATGACAGCACAAGTGCACATGGCCAGAACTTCCAACCTATGGTACAGTAAGACTGTCTCAGAAAAAAACAAAGAAACAAACAAACAAACAAACAAACAAACAAAAAACAAAAAAAACTAATGCAGTGTACACTTTGCTGTCTGAAAAGAACACTTGGGACATAGCTTAGGAGGCTTACAGGAAGAAGGGCAGTGTCAATCTAGAAGTAGCAAGAACATTTACTGGCTTGGACACCTGCTCTTTGATGCTGGCCATGAGATGGGTTAAGGTGCAACATCTCATTTGCCGCCACCATCTCCAACCAGTAAGGCAGTCAGTAAGCCAGTGTTTGACATATCCAGATAAGAGTGTATGGGTAAGGAAATGAACGTTTAGCACTGATTAGGCATGCCTGCCATGGCTACTTCCTGTGAGATGACCACTGTCATGGCAACTAAGCAGAACAGAGAGGGTTTGTAATGCTTGTAATCCCAGCATTTGGGAGGCAGAGACTAGAGGATTGCTTCCAGTTCAAGGTTCAAGGACAGGATGGCCTACGTACATATGGAAGCCCTCTTTCAAAACACCACAAAGCTAACTGCTTCACTGGGAAAGGGCCCTTCAACTTCCTACTTTCCTGTCATACATTTTGAGCTAACCTGCTGTTTCTACAAGACACACCTTATTCTGTACCCCAGGATTGGCCTGGAGCTCATGCTGTAAGGCCAGGATGGCCTCCAACTTGAGTTAATTGTGCCTTACCCTCCCAACATGAGCTACTCAGGATTTTCTTCCTTCTTTTGCACTTACAGAGATTCCTTTTTCCAGTTTCTCTTTCTCTTTGCAGAGAACCTGATTGTCCATCTTGCAGCGATGTAGCCTTCTTTTTAGGTCAGACACCTCATCCTGTCATCCATAAAGACATCGGAATTAGGATCTTATAATGCAACGGAGCAGGGTAAGAGCCTGCAGAGGGGCTGGCTCCCGAAGGGAGGACTGAGGCTGGGGAGAAGGAAGTCTGGAGGAGGGAGCTGGGGGCTTAGCCAAATGCTGAAAAGCTCGAGCAGACAGGACAAGGTCAGTGTGTTCTCACCAGGGCAGGTTAAGAGCCTAAAGAGAGGCAGGGGGAGCTCAAGGAAGAGCTACAGACATAGCAGAGGTAAAGGTGACTGAGAACCTTATAATCCTACCCAGCCGGGACAGGATGTTAGCTCTGGAGAGACAACTTGCTCTGTTGAGGCCTGGCTTGCTTGGGAGGACTCTCTCCCAGTGTGAGCACAGGAATACTGTCTCAAGTTCCACAGGGCACAGACTGGGCTTCGAAGCCTCCCAGGAGGACAGGGTTCATGCTTCAGGAGCTACTGTTCCTTGTTTGTACATACATTCATATCGCTCTCACACACACACTTTAGCTAATCCTATTAGTTTTTGGGGTTTTTGCCGATTTTTTTTCTTTTATTTGAATGCTGGTGCCCAAACTGCTGTGCGCTTCTAGCCGACCCTGAGGTAATCGAGAGAAGACTACCCGATGACAGTGCTGTTGACAGGCTTCTCGCTCCCCATCCCCACCGGCTCCTGCTGGCTCTTCTGCTCCTGCTTTGCTTCCTCAAAAGGCAGAAATAAGAAAGGACTCTTGAGTCTGCACTGAACCTCCCCCCCCCATCATGTCAATGCTTTCTCTGACATCCATGAACGGGCTGGGCCTAATTCCCAGGGACCTTCCCCATGCCCAGGCTGGGCATTCTATTCTTTAGGAACAGAAAGGCTCTTAACAAAGGCGTACATTTCCTGGGCTCTCACACCCCTTACTTTCCTGGGCCCTTCAACTCTGCCACCTACCATTGCAGCAGCCCTGAGTTGCCTGAGCTGTTTGTGGAGTCGCTGACACTCTTTGTACTTCTCTAAGTAACAGGCTCTGCCAGCCTCTACCTTGGCCTTTAACCGGTCCACCTCTCGCACTAACTCCTCCTCCGTGGTTCTCTCCTTGTTCTTAGGCTCCTGAGGTACAAGACACAGTCCCTGAAGTCAGAGGGCTTTTGCATGGGAAGGAGTTCAGAGGTAGAGGCTTGAACAGCTTGCAAGAAAAAAAAAAAAAAAAAAAGCCAAGAGTCCTTGGGTTTTGAAAGATCCTGAGGAAAGCGAAGACTAATGAGATTTTTATCTTTTCCATACTCAAAAACTCACGTTTTCCCAGCAGAACAGGAAAGAAGTGAATAAACGAAGGAGGTGAATGAATGGAAGAGGCTCAGGGGAAGATGTTTAGCACCAAGACTGGCCCTCACTCACCCAATGACACAAACAGCCAGTGAACTAGCCAGGGAACTTGTGAGCTGTCTAACCACTCAGCTCATAAGTCTGTGGGCTCAATTGTAAAGGTTGGTATGTAATTCAATTTCTCAAAGCCCCACCTATGGGCTGAACCAGAGAGCTGTCCTTAGGCAAACCCTGGTTTATCATATACGATGTGGGGTGGCTTCAAAGCCATGCAGGTAAAGAGGACCTTGAATTGCCACTGCTCATGCCTCCATCCAGACCTGGAGGAGACACTGTAGGGTAAAGCTGACAAACACATAATTCTCAAAAACTGACCAAAGATGATGACCAAGCGTGAACTGGCTCCAATGAGACAGTCTGTAGACACCCTCAGACATCAGAATCCTCACATTTTCCCATCCATTCAGGATACACAAGCTTTCAGGTACCTGTCAGCATCATGAGGGTCTTTTAAAACAACTTATTACAGGAAATTACTAGTTAATTAGTTAGGGCTGCATTGCTACCTAATTTACTTCTCAGAATGATTCACAACCAGGGTAACTGCTAACATCAATTACACCAAAATTGGCTCTGGGTGTTATAATTTCCTGTTTTATGGCCCTTTATACTTATTAATTTGTTTCTCACATAACTCTGCAGTGAGCAGGGGTTATTTGGTGTGGCTCCTAAGCCCAAGGACGGATGTATCTGTCCGCTAGTCTGTGGTGGTCATTCCCCATATCTGCCCCTGAAACATCTTTTAAATGGCAGATTCAGTGTCATTCTAGACAGAAAGTAAACAACACTCCCAGGCAACTGCTGTTCTAACGCCTTATCCTTTCTGTCTCCTGGAAGTAGACCCTCATGTTCTTAGGTGCCCGTTCACGCAACCACGCAACAATGGTTGACATGCCTGGAGGTGCTCTTCTTTCTTCCTCAGGAGCTCGTCTTTCTTCCTCGAGGCAGTTTCTTCCTCCTTCATCCTTTCCTGGATCCGCTCAAGCTTCTTCCTCTGCACAGAAACAGACTTTAGTACCAATGCTGGGAACAGACTCACGTGCGCACACAGCCCTGAGCACAGCACGCCTGCTGAACTGCTGAGCAGGCAGGATGAAGAGGCATAGCTTAAGTCATTTAATAGTTGAATAAACCCATGATATAACCTCATAGGAAGCGGCTTCTTTGGGCTGTGTGAGCTGTTGCAGCTCCCAGAATTATAGAGGCAGAGACAAAATGAGCTCCAGGCCGGCCAGGGACACAGTTTGATGAGAGGCCGAATCTCAGCAGGTAGCAGTGGAAACAAAGGCTTCTTCTGAAACTTTTCCCAGAGCCACTAAAGAAAGGTGTAAAGTGTTTCCTGTTCAGGTCTACCTGTTCAGTTATTTGGGTACGGTACTCCCAGTTAACTTGTTTGAACCATTCCAACTGCCTTGTCCTTTCTTTGTCGTGCTGAGCAAGCTTCTCCAGTTCACTGTCTTTACTTGACAGCTGGGTCTAAGGCGAAAACAGTAAATTCAACAGGAAGGCACAGAGGGCCATTAGATTCTAATTAGACAAGAACAAAAAAAAAAAAAAAACCTTCCCTAGCCATGCCCACTTACAAAGAGCCCTCAGAACTGCACCCCATGGCTGCCCAGACTTACAGCCCAAGATCTGACTCATTTAATGAGCAACAGTCAACGAACCTAGTCAACGAATCGTGAGAGTTTGTCTTTCTACCTAAATACAGATCAGGTCTGCTTCACATTCCACACTTGAGAAAGATTTTGTTTAAAAAAAAATTCATGACAAGTGAAAATCATTATTATGGGTGATCATCCTTAAAGTTAGCTCAATGTATATGAATTCACATTAATTTCCTTGTGGAACATTACTGTTATTACCCATGCAGGATCATGTTTGGAAAACTGTCTTGTCAATCAATTTTATCAGACTGGGAAACGCCCAGGAGACAAGCAAGCACACACACTTTGCACCTGCAGACATTTCTAAGGAGGATAATAAAGAGGAAAAAAAAAAGGCCTTTCTTGAGTGACCTGGGTAGAATAGATGGGAAAAGCTGGCGCCTGCTTCTTTCCTGGGTGCTGTGGGGTGAGCAGCTTGCTCTGCTATACACCTCCTCCACCACTGTCAAGAATTCTTCCCCTGTCAAGAGCTGGAGAGCTGTCCTGCCCCCACTGCAACAAATTGCATCTTTCTGGGCTGCTGACTGGAGGGCAGAGCTAAAAAACAAAACAAAAAAACAAAACAAAACCCTTTGCCAAAAGCTGAGGGCCACCTACCTGAAGCTTCTCCACTTGGAGCTCGATAGTCTCCTTTTCTGAGGCTATCTTCTGGTTGTATTCTTTCAGTCTGTGGAAGCGGAAGAGATGACTGTTTACTGATTCCAGATCATTCCAGGATGTAACTGACTTAAGACTGGCCTGGCCCACATCTACAGTTAATTACCCCCTACAGAGGAATTCATTTTTTTTTTTAATTTATTTTTCCTTTCACTCTTTAAAAGAGAGGAGGCACACTCACTGGAGCAGCTCATTCTCCCAGCAGACCTTCTGCTCTTCCACATCTTGTTCTAAGCTCTTATAGGAGCAATCCAAGGCCTGCAACGCCTCCTGGAGTGAAACACAGAGAGATCATTTAAATAAAAAAAGTTTTAGTATGTTAGGCAGAGAGAAAAAACGTTTACTGAGCCCTGGGGAGGTTGGTTTTCCTGAGGAATGTCCTTCCCAGCTTCAGGCATTAACACGCTGTCCCCAGCAGTTGGCGCTATGGAGGCCACAAGGTGCGGCAGCCAATCGCCGCGCTGGGGGCGGGGCCTGAAGAGTTGGCAGCCCTGCCCTGCTTTCAGTTCCCACTGATCACATCTTACCCTCCCGCTCCTGCCACCCATTCCTGAAGCTCGCTGCCAAGAGGCTCCCACCATGGTGGATTCACCCCTTGGAACTGTACAGCAGAATAAAGCCTCCCTTCCTCGCCTTGCTGCCCTTGGTGGCCGTGCTCTATCACAGCAGCGGGGAGTGACGTCAGTAAGGTGACTCCGCACTACTTTATTTGTTTTAAAGATATTCTTTCCATACATACATCCGTTGGTTGCTTTTGCAGGGCTTCAACGGGCGCCAGGCAAGCACTCTGCTACTGGGCTATAGCCTATTCCTAGGAGGTCACTGGATGTGCAGTTAGTCCAGCCTATTCCTTCCAAATCCAAAGACATGTAAGGCACTTGCTGTTGCAGAGGATATTTGTTCAGTTCCCAACACCCACAAAGGAGTCTAATTTCAGGGATCAGATTCCTTATCGTTTCTTTGCAAATGTACAAGCAAACGCACATACATTTGAAATGAAGAATGAACAGGTCTGCCTCCAGCTGAGATCTGCCTGCCTCCGCCTTAAAGTGCTGGCAGTTTGCCAACACACTTAAAAAAAAAAAAATTGCAACTCCAGCTAGGTGTGGTGGCTGATGGCTTTTATCACACTCAGCGATGGAGGTCACTGGATGTGCAGTTAAGTTAGTTCAAGGCCACTTACATAGCAAGCTCCAGCCAGAGCTGCATAGTGAGATGAGCCTGTCAAAAAAAAATAAAGCATGCCACCGGGTATGGTGGTGGCACACGTCTGTAATTCCAGCATGAGAAGCTGAAGCTGGAGAATGCTGAGTTTTAAGGCCAGACTCAGCTACATATTAAGGTCCCCACTTAAAGACCTCAGTCTTGAAAAACCAGAAACAAGAACCAGAGCATTTATCCATTAATCCACTGTAAAAATATCTATTGAGTGCCTGGGACACAGCAGGCATTTTCCTGAGGACAAAAGCTCAGCCACCCTTTAGTAGTGTCCCATAATTTGGTAGGAGCCACCTGTAATTAAGAATTGGCAGCTGAGCTAGGCCGTGGTGGCACACACAGGCCTGTAATTCAGAACTCTGGGAGGCAGAGGCAGGTGCATCGCTGTGAGGCAGGCATAGTCTACACAACATGAGTCCAGGACAGCCAGGGCTACACAGGAAAACCCTGTCTCTAAGAGAAAAAAAAAAAATTGGCAGCTATGCCAGGTGATGGCTGCGTACCTTTAGTCCCAGGACTTCAGAAGCAGAGGCAGGCAGATGAGTTTGAGGCCAGACCCAAACACAAAATTAAAAAAGGGGCAGGTTTTTTTTCCCCCAGACGGGGTGTAAAGCAGCTGTTCAACCTGTGAGTTACAACCCCTTTGGCAAGGGTTTATCACCACAAACCTTTACGTTACAGTAACAGGAGCAAAATTACAGTTATGAAGCAGCAATGACAATGGGTTCATGGTTGGGGGTCACCACAACAGCCCTGTGTCAAACGGGCCACAGCATTCATTAGGAAGGTTGAGAACCACCGGTGTAAAGGAAGGCCACAGGTCACAAGCCACAAGCCATCCTGACCTACGTGGTCCAAGTTCACCTGTGACCAGCATCCCCCTACCTGCTTTTTCTGGAGCTCAGCCTGCGCCTCAGAGAGCATCTCCTGAAGGCTGGCACAAGTGCCTTTCAGTGTCTGGTTTTCTTGGTAGAGTTCCTCATTGAGCTGCTCAATCTCTTCCACCCTCTCCTGGAACAGAACACACAGCTGTGTCAAAAGGGCCGCAGCATTCATTAGGAAGGTTAAGAACCACGGGTGTAAAGGAAGGCCACAGGTCACAAGCCACAAACACTGGGTCAGAGACAGTTCCATCCTGACCTATGTATGTGGTCCAAGTTCACCTGTGACCAGCATCCATCTACCTGCTTTTTCTGGAGCTCGGTCTGTGCCTCGGAGAGCATCTCCTGGAGGCTGGCACACGTGCCTT